AAATAGTATTAATAGCCATATTATCAAGTGATATTGAGATTTTTCAAATTAAATGTTAATATTAAAAAACATATTTTTTTTATGCATAAGTATTATTATTGCATTAAAATATTATAATATAACTAAATGTGGGTAGTAATTTCTAATCAATTACTTATTTGAAAAACATTATATCTGATAAAGGTCTGATAATAGTCAACAACATAAACATTCAAACGTAAATATATAAAGATAGAATGAAATGCAAAAAGTTTTGGGATATTTTACAGACAAAAAGACTTAAGCTTAAATCTTAATTCAACAAAAAATATCATTACTTCATTTGAATTTGAAGGACTAATTGGAAATGTGTTTGCGGTCCCCGGAGAACCAATACCAAACAAACCAGTCGAGCCATAATTGTTGCCAGTAACAATATTTAAATGACCTAAACCATCTTGTTGGTTATACCTAGATTTTTGTATCATATTATTTTGCATATGTTTTAATGGAGAAGCTATTGTTGGTGAAAAATGACCAATACTATTATGGCGTGTAATAGGAATATTAACTGGAGCTGAACTTCCTAAAATATCTAGAAATATTCATACATAAGAAAAAAATTATACACTTTATAAGATTTATAAAGCATATAATTAATTTAATTTACCAGATGCTTGTAAACTTGATGATAGAGGATTATTTAATATAGGAGATTCATTTTCTCGATCAACAGAGAAATTTAAATTATCTTCCATGACTAAATCATCTAAATTACCTAAAAAAATAAAAATAATAATAATACACATATCAACAATATAATATTAATTTAATTATTTAAAAATATTTTAACCAAATAAAAATGTAAAACATACCATTCATTGCAGTTGTTGGTTGATAAGAAGAAAAATGATTCATATATGAAGAATTACTATTACCATTAGATACGACAGGTCCAAATATGGAACTATGTCTTCTTTGTGGTTCAACATTAGGTAACAATGATTGAGAATCAAATGAATTTAAAAGCTAAAAAGTAATAAAAATATAAATATTAAATTACATGAAATAATAAAAATAAATAATTACAGCTTGTATGGTATCTTCATGAGCTATTTGAAATTGTTGTACATTAAATTCAGATCTAGACAAATGAGCACCAGGAGCTTTATTAGGAGAGCCAATACTTGAAGTGCATTCTGAAAGATCTCCACTTCCATTCTACAAACATAACACATCGTTCAAATATGAGCGAGTGTTTAAAATAAAAAAATTACAAACCGATGAACAATTTTTGTCATTATCTATTTTTTTTACCGGAGATCTTAAACATTCAGTCCCTATTGAAGGCACAGCGTTAGATAATATATCCGCTAAATCTGTTGAAGATTCTAATCCAGCAGCTGATTCGCGTGCAATAATCATTTCCTCTAAATAATAAAGTTAATTATTGTATATTAGCCATTAGGTTAGGTTAGGTTAGGCCATATTAAGTCAATTCATTATAATTATAATACTGTAATGTAAATACATACGATCGACATGTGCAAAAGCACAAAACACTCCACGAGGGCAATAACCAGCTTGTTGTACATCATTACACTTTGTAGACTTATATATTTCTGGATGAAATTGTTGTTCTGTTCTAGTATGGCAATACGCACAAGAGTCACCACTTTCACAATTACTTGGTTCGCCCCATTCATCTCCATGTTTTACGCTAGGACACGGAGTAGACCTAAAATATTTAAATTAATTTATTATTTTAATTTTGTTAGCTTTTACAATAATAAAAACATGCCTGTACTTGTATTTTCTTGGATTTCTTCTCTTATCTCTACTATTATGATATTGAGGACATGCATATCCTTGTCGACAAAGTCGAGGAGGGCGTTGACACTGGTCAGTTTTATAATTTGATAAAACAAAATTAGTATCTATGAAGTAAAAATATATTAATTAATACTGGATGGTAATATTTGTATATAAATAATTGAGATTAAATTATATAAAAATCCTACCCTGCCATTTAGGATCTTCATTCATTAAATTTTTTTCTTTATCTAATACATTTGGCCCATCTAAATCTACATTATTATCATCATCATTTTCAGTTACCTAATAAAAGTTATAGAATTCATTATTAAAAATACTCAACAATAAAATGATTTAAATACCTTTTGCTCGTTAATATCATATACAGGTGGTCTTAAATCATGATTCCCATGTGCAAAAGCACAATGGGGCCCATTTTTTGTGCAAAATCCCCTGCTGTCAGTATCATGAACACACATGCATGTCTTATAATATCTCAAATGGTAACGTCTCTCTGTATCACCAGCTGTTCGGTGTAAATATTGGCACCTTTTATTTAGTCAAAAATTTAAAAATATTATAAATATAAAAATGTTCTCTGAATAAATTTAAAAATCTAATAATTGGGTGAGCTATTATTTTGAATGTGCTACATGGAACATGTGAGTTAAATACAGTTATGAATGAAAGAAAATTGTATATATTTATATGTATGTAGATTTTAAATGAAATGTTTTATACGTAGATTAACGAAAAATTAAAAACATGATATGTCAAGTTGGTTAAGTTTTTAAGTTATAAAAAATAGTATGAGATAGACTTGCACTCAATTTAAATATAAACATTTTATTAATTATATCAATAAAATATACATCTTAACATTTATTGACATAATTTATCAATATTGATAAATAACACCAATTGATCACACTTTATTATTCAATGAACTATAACTTGGTCAACAATATGGTTAAACTGTTTGTTATTTGTCTGTGTCTCCTATAGGCATTATTTCATACGTAGGTGAAATTGGTAATATATAAATATTTAAAGCCCAATTTGTTTAGTACAGGGAGAAGTATAAACAAATGTGTTAAGATTTAATTTATTATTATAATTAAATACTGTTCATTCTGATTACAATTAATTAAATTCAAAATCTTAGTAGAAATAACTATAATGTTTATATGACTAAATCATACTTTTTTAAAAATGAGTTTAAGTGTTGTCAGTGGCAGATCTAAGATTTCACTATGGGGGGGGGGGGAAGAGCTAATGTTAAGGCCTCATATTCTGTAAACACCATACTGATGGTAAGACTTTTTTTAGTCCTCAAAATAAATGCACTTACTATTCAAAAGGTAACTCAATTTTATTTTGGTACCAATTCTGTTTAGAAATGATTACTGAAAAATACACGTTGTGTAGAGTACCTATTTGTTTTCCAGGAAGCAACATCTGAATCTTCACCTGAGTGTTGTCATTATTTTGACTATAAATTTTTTTATCATTCATTGTTTTTTTATATAAAGATGTAACATTTATACTTTTTATGAGCAATTAGCATTTAAAATATATTATATATAACTAAAAGAATAAGAAATATTTGTAGATTTATTGTGTTTACACTTAATATCTATAATTTTATATAGGTAATATGAAAAATGAATAAATAGATTTTTTGTGTAAAATGTAAGGCAATTATTGAAATAGATTTAAGAAAAGTAATGAAGGACAGTTTAATCAATTTGTAGGTGCACATCACATAAATTGTTTAGAACTATCTTATGTAAAATTTGAGTGGCATGCCTATGAAATAAACTGCATATTGTATAATAAATTAAACAGTACCTACATACTGAATAAGCAAACAAAAAGTTAGGTACTAAAAACATTTACTTTTGTTATAAATATATGATACAAGTATAACAATTAATGAATCAATGTTTTCAAAAATTAAAATAATAAACAGAATTAATTTTTTTTCATTAGGGGGAAGTAGAAGTAGCACAGTTTTGATTCAATTCAAATTGTACACGGACAAAAATGAAGTTTTTTAAAACACACAACTTGTTTTTAAATTATAAAAATTCACATTCAATACTAGTAATAGGTTCATTAAAAAGGTAAAATATATATTAACATGCAATAGATCATTGCTTACTCGTCTCCTTTAGTACAAACTCCTGTGGTCTCATCATATTGTGTACAATAATCATCTGCACTATAGTTAAATGTGCCATCTCTTTTTCTCACTGGTCTACGACGCCGCTGATTCATAAAATGCCAATTGAAACAAGTATAGGGTCTATGTTGTGTGCATTTATGTTGCAAAAACAATGGGCACTGCTCAACGCGAAACTCTTTTAAATATCTGCGATAATACAAAAAGTTTGGATGATATCAGGCAATACTATTTACTAAATCTGTATTATATGTGCAACAATTAATGAGTGGCTAAATAATAAACAGAAAATCATGAACAAATTCAAGTCTTACGAATAATGATTTGGTTTCTCCATTTGGGCAGGAATCTTAGATTCTGACGGCATTTTGTTGCAGTTCGTTTGCAACCTCAGATATATTTTAAATTGATAACTTTACTTGATGGGCCGCATCAACGGCGGTTCAATAATACAATTTCGGCAATTTCAAATTGGTTCTCGTTTCATTCATGATGCAAGAAAATAAATAGTACCTAAACTCTAAAGGCTAAAGCAAAATGTTTTTTTTTTTTTTGACGACTTATGTTATTGTTTTACACTTTCCAAAATATTGATCACATGACTAAACCACGGTAGCATATGTGTACACAGTGTAACCAACGGAAAATGTTATCTCTTGCGTTTCCATTTCAACACTGATAACGGTGGCATTGATAAAGTAATCACCTTTCAAAAATTCCCCCTTTCGCTTTTCCTTTCTAAAATCAGAAACACATTAAATTACTATTGAATTACGTAATACATAAGCACTTAGTTGGCCTTACTCGCCTTAGTAATGCCATTCACCAACGAATGTCATTAAAACAGACTAATGGTAAGTACAATAGATATAATTGTATGTAAATTTTTGTTTATAACGAATAGTATAATTCGTGTTTCAGGCACCATAATGGTCTAGCATTTGGTATTCATAAGTCTTGGTAAATCTATTGCAGTGACAATAATTTATCTACCTAATTTTCATCTCACTATAAATTGATCATGGACAGAAGCGACCGTAAGACAATCCGTGTAGGTTCACGTAAAAGTGAATTAGCATTAATCCAAACCAAGTTTGTTATTAGCCAGTTAAAAGAATTACATCCGGAAATAGAATTTGAAATAGTCTCCATGACCACAATGGGTGACAGAGTTCTGGACAAACCTTTACCAAAAATTGGAGAGAAAAGTTTGTTCACTAAGGATCTTGAAGTTGCTTTACTTAGCGGTACTGTTGATTTCATTGTACATTCATTGAAAGATTTACCAACTGTGATGGAAATTGGAACAACAATTGGTGCTATATTAAAACGAGATGATCCAAGAGATGCTTTAGTACTTCGAGATGATTGTAAAGAATATCAACTGGACTCATTACCTTCAAAGAGCTTCATTGGTAAGTAATCAATAATTATATGTAATGTGTGAAGGACATACAGTATGTTATGATGCTGATGTACAGTTGGTATACACACATTATACCAAATAGTTAATATAATAAATTCAACACTTATTTGTAATTAATTAATGTTTCAAAATATAAAACATACTATAGGTTACATTGCATGTAGGCTGAAAAGTCACATTCATTATACTGTGATAAATTTTATTTTTGCAAACATCTATATTCTATCGAGTTTTAAATATTGCTCCAAAAAAGTCATACTATGATACTAAATTGATTGGAAAATCAATAAAACAGAGCATATAATGCTTTATTCCAAATGCTTAATAAATATGCTAAGAATATTCATCATCTTTTCTAAAAATCAGTTCCCATATGTTTCTTTATATTTGTTACTAAAAAGTATTAATAATTTATGAATAAATTATACAGCGTGTCCCGTGAGGAAGTGGACTTGCCGCCAGGACAAAAGCTGGTTTTTTGCCTTTTTACCTATAAACAAAAAATTATGAGATTAATGAAAATAAAATGTTATAATTTTTCTAACTTTTTTACCAAAATATTGAATTTAATTAAAAAATAAAATATGTTTAGTCCTTGTCTCTGTAAGTGTAATAAAAAAAAAAAAACAGATTTATGATATATTTATTATCTCGGGAGATATCGCAATGGGTAAATCCTCACGGGACACCCTGTATTGTTTGTTTATAAAGGTGCACATTATTAGTCCATGTGTTAATATATGCACTTATAATTTGTTTTATCAATACTAATTTGAATATTAATTATGTGCTTAGGTACTTTTATATTTTTATATACTTATGTTTAATGAATATGTATACAATTCTATGATCCATTTAAATTATCATTGTTTGTATGATAAGACTTATGAATATCCCAAACTGTAATGTTTTAATTTAATATGTTTAGTAATTTTTATATTGGTAATAACTAATAAAGTACCTACCTATATACAAATTAGTAGTTGAAATAACATACTTAATAATTTAACTTTTAGTAGCAACAAACATGTTATTAATATTTAAAGTGTATACCAGATATTTGATTAAAAGAATAAGGAAGAATTACCTACATTAAACATTTTTTTAATTGTCTTTGAATGAATATAAATTATTTATACTGGGTAATTCACCAAGTATGCTCACCCACTTTTTTTCTTCAATAAACTTCTGATTTTTGGAAATTTTGAATATACCTTGGTACCTAAAGGCCATAATATTTTCAAATTCTTAAGATTTTTTGTACTTCATTAGAAGATACAAACTGCTAATTTTTTAATAGGAATCCCTCTTTTCTACTATATATAAATTACAAAGTTAATTATAAAATGGATAATTTGTCTGAAAACGTTGGTGAAATTAATTCAAAATTCAAATGAGTAGTTTCTCAATTATTATTTATTGAAATATATGGCTATAGCCCCCTCATATTCTTACAAATCCATCATCATGGACTTTTAATCCTTAGAATACAAAAGAACTCAAAAACTACTCATTCAAATTTTGATTTTGATATGTCAGCATTTTCAGAAATACCCACTAAATAATTTACAGTAGAACAGGGGGCTCTCATTTGAAAATAGAAGTTTGTATCTCCACAGAATACTCCTTCAGTAGTACAAAAATCTTAAGAATTTGAAAATATTATGGTCTTGAGGTACCTAGGTATATTTAAAATTTCCAATAATCAGATGTTTAATAACTCCATTATTGAAGAAAAAAGAGGGTGAGCATGCTTGGTGAATCACTCTGTATGCCCAACCTGTAATCAATTTAGATAAGTTTTTCTGTTATTAATATATTCAACTATGTCTGATGAGTGATGACTAATCACAGTTAAAAGTATTTAAATTGTAGATCATAGGCCAACAAATCATTTATCACAATTTTTTTTTATCATTGCAGAACCAAGTAAACTGAATTTTAGTGTGTATAGTAAAGATAACATTTTGTAGCACAGAGGTTCTAATTATATATTTTGGCATAATAAATCTAATGGCTAATACATTTACGTATAGTGGGTCAGTTATGGTCATGTACCACTAATGACTAAATTTAAAAAAATTATAAAACAGTAAAATATTTTGTTCATTTTTTTCATATACAATATTGAATATACTATATTAAAGTGAATTAAAAATATTAAGTGGATATCACACAAAATTATGTTTCTTTTCTTTACCTGTTGAACATAGTACATAATTAATATTTTTTAGTTTTAGAGTTAGTGAATAATCATGACAAGATTACTGGTTACAGGATGCCTATTATTTAAATCAAAGTTCTCAAAAATATTCTTTGTACAGAGTTAAACCTTATGATTGATATAAACCTAAAACCACTTAAGCGGCTTACAATTACAATTTATCAGTATATGACAGCCAATGTATTGCTGTCACATAAAAAATCTTGCTCAGGCGTGGTATATTTAAATTTATAAACAAAACTTAGCTTAATTTCCATACCTTTTTTAGTTACCAGAGGCATGCTGAATAGTAATTTTTTGAGGCAATTGCCTCAGGGAAAATTCGGGTAGATGGGTGGGTGGGTGTTAGTATAGATGTGCAACTTATACCTAAAAAAATTTAGTAATATTTATTATTTTGAATAATAAAAAGAAAATAGCGAAAAAACTGTTGGTGATGGGGAGGGGATCAAATTCTATAGTTTGCCTCAGGTCTGCTTTTCAGTTCGGCACGCCACTGTTAGTTACTATAGAATAAAAATAAAAATAGCTATTATAGTGCTGTACATATTTTGTTTTATTTATCAAGGATCCAATTATTACATTTTATATTGCATTATTGCATATTTTAAGCATTTTAGATTTTTAGTACTACCTATATTACCAGTTTTATTTTACTGATATACATTTAAATTATTAAACTAATTACATTTATTTTGTGTTTTTTCATAAATCTTATAATTTGAATGAAAATAGAAAAGAAGAAAGTTATTCAAATAGCATTGGCAGAAATTAGTATGAGCTTGAGAGGGCTTAGCCCCCCCCCCCCCAAAAAAAAAAAAAAAAGTTCATCAAGTCTAGAAATAAAAATGTTGATTCCGCAAATATATGATTATAGGTTAGTTGTACTAGACAACATTTTAGGGAATGCTCAAAATAAAATTTGAAGTACAGTACTCTGACATATTGTGCCACTTTAAGTCCTGACTGTTATAATAATTATGTATAGATATTGTAAAAATATATAACATTCTGTGTTGCGGTTTTTGTTATGAATGTGCTCTAGTGTACGCACCAGCTGGTGTCACTAGTTCTCGGATGGGTGACCACTGGGGATTTTCAGTGACAAATCCTCGCCACACATACACACACGTGTTTAAACCAACAGTACCCTCCCCCCAGGGTAGTAGGCTAATTACCTCAATTTTCAAAGCCTTAATTTCAAATAAAAAATATTATGTAGAACATTCTATGGTTCATAAAATTATTAATTTAAACCATACACATTTATTCTTCTTACTTGAGGTTCAGCATTTTATAGAATATACCGAGTCATTATTTTATTTTAATGAAGTGGTACAAGGTCTGCCAGATTGATAAAATGATATGATTTAATCATAATTACTTACAATTAGTGAATTTAAACATTAGTAAAACCAATATTTAAAGCATAGTGGTATAAAACAATAACAAATATCTAATAACATTTTAAAAGTATATACATATTGTGTATTTACAATAAAGAAAAGATGGTTCAGAATAGGCTATAGACATATAACAGTATATAAATGGTTCATTTAAACCACAATTTGTTTAGAAAGTAGGAATTGAAAAGGAATTATGTGTTGGGAAAATAGACAGAAACTTTGAAAGGGATTTTGGAGGTAGGTGAATACATTTAATTTTCATGCTCATTTTTGGCATTCCGTAGAATATCAGATTAAACACTATGCTGGTAAAATATATTAATCCAATCCTTAATCATGTAAAGTATAGTGGTACTAGTATGTATAGTATTAATGAGTAATATTAATCAAGAATGCTATACATTAAATATTTTCTTTTAAATTCTGAATAATATATTTGTATTATGTTTTTAGGAACTAGTTCTTTAAGACGCACAGCTCAGTTGAAAAGAAAATTTCCTAATCTTCAAGTGTCTGATGTACGTGGAAATTTAAATACAAGATTGAAGAAATTGGACTGTAGTCAATCTACTGATAGTAACACAGATACAAATTATAGTGGCATAATTTTAGCGTTGGCTGGAATTCAAAGAATGGGATGGGAAAAACGTGTGTCCCAAATAATTGATTCAGATGTTATGCTTTATGCTGTCGGACAAGGAGCTTTGGCAGTCGAGTGTCGTTTAGGAGACGATTATATTTTAGAAATGCTTGAACCATTGCATCACTATGAAACAGTTTTACAAGTAATATATTTGACTAATATTAAAAATTGATGGATATTTATAATTTATTTATTATTTATATATTTATGTGGATTTAGCTGCATAAATACTAGTTTTTATTTATGAATATTTATTTGATATACTCCGGCTCACAAGAGATCAGTACTGTTTTACGGCCAAAACTCGTCCGATTCCCCGCATCCCCCACTTCATATTATTAACATAATGCGTCCAGCAATATTAATATTAATACAACACAAAATAATAAAATAAAATATCATAGGCCATCTTTGCTTAGAATCATTGTTCATATACAATGCCATATTGAATTTAAATTTAACATAGTAAAAATGTTAACATGTCATAATTACATTGTTTTATTTGTATTTAGGTTGTTGCTGAAAGAGGTTTCCTTACACGATTGGGGGGAGGATGCAGTGCACCTGTTGGTATAAGGTCTACTGTTTGTTTAACAAAAAATGCTATGTCTTTGGATGGTGCTGTGTGGAGCCTTGATGGTGCAGAAGAATTACAATATTCATCTTCTGCACAGTTGGCAGATAAAAAAGTTATACAGAGCCACATCGATCAGTACAGAAGCGAAGATGGAGAACCACCAAAGAAATGTCCATACAAACAACCTAGACAATTTGTAGGAGTAACACCAGGGAAAATAAGTTATTTAGATTTGGATACAGCATTAAAATTGGGTACAGAGTTAGCAGAGAATTTAATATCCAAGGGTGCTCTTGATATAATGAATGCGGCAAAAGAAATAATTCATTCTACCATCAAATAATTGTACACCATAGCTGTATTTATTGTGATTCACTCTTTTAATTATTCTCTGGGGGTTGTTATGTTTGGTTTTGGTGTTTTATGTTAACCTTTGTTATTTATTATTTTGTCCTTTTTTTCTTTGAATGACTACCCCTTGTTGAATTCTAATACTACTATAATGATTGTTAGTAATATATAAACATTTACAATTAGTTACCTACCCATTATATATATATATATTTTTTTTATCATCCCTACAAGTCACAGGATAGAGATCGAAAATAACTTGCTCTAGTGGTAAACACACTAGGGCAAGCAGATAAATACTACAAAGTGTAATAAATAAATATTATTTGTGAGCATATATGTACAAAACTGTTTATTTTTGAATGCCATCTAGTTTAGAAAAAATAAAACCCATTTGGAAAATTATCAAATTCATGTAGAAGTATTCAAATGTTTTAATCAGTAGTATATTTTTATACTAAATAATCGATTAGATGAAAGTGTTATTTAATCTATGACATATCTACACAATTTGTCTTTTGACATTATTAGACAATTCTCTAATGCTAAATTAAATGTTCTACTTAAACACTAATTAAAGTATGAGCAGCTTAATAATCAAGTATCATTTTTAAAGTATAAATAATTAAGTATTTTCTAATATAAGGGTTTAAAGGGTTAAAGTCATATGAAAGTAATCATGTCTTAAACAACAAGACTACTACGTTTAAACCTTTTGTCTAATGTTTTCTTTACATATATTTTATTATTTTATATGTATCCTATTTTACCCAAAAATGTAATTACCAAACACACTATAGACTGTATAGTAGAGTATACTATAGAGGTTGTAACAAGAAAACCTGAAAAATAAAATAATTTTCGTTCTAATCAATAATTAAACATTTTTTTTTGGGGATAAATTAAAAATAGACAATTCGCAAATAGTTATTAGAAAGTTTAATGGTAAAAACATACAAGTCAAGTATTTTTCATACGCTTTAGTTTTAGATCAATATGTGGTGGTAAATTACACATGCTTCAGAATGTCCGATTTAAATTTTTTTATACATGTGGTATCTAGGGTTTTATGAAGTTGATTTTAAAGGACACCAATCTTAAGATTTTTTTTCTCATAAATAATAAATTGTATTTATTTTGGGCACATCTGACTTTGAATCAAAAAAGGGTGATTCCTAAGAGCAGTCTTGAAGTTCATAAATTCAACCATTTTTTTCGAAATTACAATCAAACTTCAGGTAACTAAGTATTTAGTATGTTTAATTTATTACCTCTTTTAGTAGTAGTTATGCTAACATGAATATTATAATAATTTGTTTTTCGCAAAGTATTGACATGTGCATTTTTAAGTTGGATTCGATGGTGGTTGTCAAACATGGCTTTACAGAGATACTCAGAAACGCGCTAATGGTTATTTACTACAACTCACACAACCATAGCTCAAATGTTTATGTTATGTGAATTGCTTCAATATTACTCATAAGAAGACGTTACACAGACATTTGTTCTCCACTTACACAAGTGCATAACATAGCAAATGTTAACAGTTTTTTAATATATTTTGTATTAAAGAGAATTAAGTGTACAAAGTATTAAGTTGTTCAAACAATTTAAAATGTTTAAATACCTATAAGTCACTTTATAATTAAATTATAATAAAAAAAACTCATGAAATCGCCTAGATAGTAGATAATAATCTTAGCTTTAAATTTTATAAGAGGCCAATTCACTCCAATTTTTAAACAACTGAGCCCCTGAAGTCTGGTTTATTTCTTACAATTTTATAGAATTATCAATATTTTTTTTTATATAAATTAATTTGAAGTAATGAATGTGAAGAAAAAAAACAAAAAACCTAGCACTGTTGGTCTGCTTATAATACAGTAGGTACTCTGGGCAACTTAAAACTAATTCAACATCCATTTTAAAAATTCCTTATGACTATAATAATATAAACAAATACTGATACTGAGAAATAATATTTATTAAATCAAAATACACATAGCAATTATTGGTTGGCTTGGTCAGTAGGTATAGTTTTGATGATATCTGAATCACCTGGATCGGTGATTGAAAGCGTAGCAACCCTGAAGTATTTACCACATGCGGTACCTAATTCAATGTTGTTGCCGGAGTATTGGAAAACATCAGTCTTGGACAACATGGCATAGTACTCAATCTCTGATACTCTGAGAAAAAAAAAACAATTAAATATGTTTTTCAACAATAATGATATAGGTGATTGATTTTACCTGGTTTACCTTTTTTTTTAAGGTTTCAACCACCTATACTTTTAGCATTCAATAAACCAGTAATACAGAAAAAAAAGAAAATCATGGTTTAACTTGAGACTACTCCATAGGTAAACCCCAAAAATCGAAAATTGTAAATAAAAACCATAAGAAACAGGGGTTTTCCCTACTTCTCAGTCTCACCTTAACGGAGATGTGTTGTTAGCAATGATGACCAGCTTAGATTTTCCTTGTCTTAGGGTTTTCAACGATTGCTTCAGGCCAAGGACGCATTTTCCAGACTTCATAACAAGAGCCAACTTGGTGTTGATGCTTTCTAAAGCTTTTTTCTAAAAATAATAATTTTTAACGAGCTAATTAACATTTTGGAAACAACAATATTATCTTTGTGGGATTAAAATACACTACTTAAGTATGTAATAAACATAAAAAAAAAATTAGGTTCTTTAAGTAGAAATGTACTTCAAACAATACAAGTACTTCACTAGAAAATATTGGTTAAATTTAGTTTACCACACACCATACATTTTCAGATTTTTTATTACTTATGATTATAATTTAGGATTGCAGCGCATGTATTTTTCATACGTTTTAGACCAATAAGCGGTGGTAAATTACAAATACTTCGGAATGTCCGTTTTAATTTTTTTATACATGTTTGAATTCATTGATAAAATATCTAAGCTTCTTAGGAAGTTGATTTTGAATTTTGAATTTAAAATTACCTTATAACCATTTTTTTTTTAGAAATCCCATGAAATAATTGCATTACATTTGTATTTATTTAGGGTACATCTGATTTTACATAATAAAAGTGATTCCTAAGAAGCATAGTCTAGAAGTTTATAAATTCAACCATTTTTTCGAAATTACAATAGAATTTAGAGAAGTATGATTATCTTACTACCGCTTTTAGTAGTTTTTATAGTCATGCAAAATAAAATATATTTCATTTTTCGCGATGTATTGACATGTGCATACGCGTGCGAGTTGCTTTTGGAGCGGTTGCCAGACTCGACGTGACAGCGATTCTCGGATACAATAAGCAGATAAGGAACACTAATGTTCATTTACTTCTCACACATAGATACAGTATTAATTTATATTTCACGTGAATTGCCTAAATAGTACTCCTTAAAATATGCTACGTTGCAGCCCCCTTAACAAACAATTTGTTTGTATACATGTTACAAAAAAAAAATAAGCACAATATGCTAGGTATGCAGTGAGATACATTTGTAAAAGGCATGATGATAAAGTAACGTGGTGTGTTACGTGTATGAGATTCTTTTATTATTTGATGCATCGTACAAACAAATAATCCCTATTATGAAGGGTCGGAAAAAATGATATTATTAATATTATGTACTATGACTACTTAAATAAACAGCCATGGCAGCTAGTTAACACTGCGCATAACATTGTGATAAAATGTCCCCCTGACTTGGAATAAAAGCTAAATCATTGTAGGCTATAATAATAATCCATTTTATATTATTCTTGTCATTCAAGATAGCAATAATGAAACTTCAGTAGTCATGCCTATTTATTTTGTCATGCATTATACATCAATATGTATAGTGACGATAACGATAACTCCAATAGTGCGATGCTAACGTCATAAAATGTTGGATGTCTGCGTACGACTTGGATAAATAAGATAGTTATTAGTTACCATGCAAACTTGGACAATTCTGAATAACAAAGGTAAAAAATTGCATTTAATATTTGCCAGACAACTGGAGTAAATGTGAATGAACAATTTTAAAGTTAGGTACCTATAGGATTGTTATAAAACTAATAAGCAGAGGGAAATGAAAATTAATTTTTTTATCATTTTAATTGATACACAAACATTTAAAACAAAATACTTAATTCAATGAAATGTCAGTAGGGCAGTGCACTTAAAAAATTTGTATGATACATTATTAATTGATAATAGGTATATAAACATATAGTTACTCTTTTATATAACTTCAGTATACTCGACTTTAGCCGACATGACACACGATTTATTATCATTGATGTAACCTATAACTAAATGTAATAAGGTTACCTACCTACTGTATAGAAACAAATTTATAAAATCTTATAAAGTTAAGATTCTATGACGATTAATTAGTTATAAGTATCTACCTATTGAATTAAAAACCTAACTAAATAGGAAAGGCGGTTAACAAACATATTTTATTTCAGTTTGATTTAGGGTACAATAAATATTGAAATTACATGCTCTGGAAAAACTAAATCGCGTTCAACCAACCTAAAAACACCGGTAAATTATCAACTACCTAATTCAGAAAAAAACAATTTATGGTAGTGGATAAGTGAGCAAATAATGACTCTCAACAAATTATAAATCAAATGAACTCTAAAAATCTAGTCATTCCACGCTTAAAAGTTATTACCAGCCACCAGCGGCAGTGAATAACACGTGGTTTATCGTGTAGCACAACAAAATTATAAGAACACGGAGGTCATATTTTCTGTATTAATAAACGTACCTGTTTCTTTCCAGCGGCCATCGTTTACGGTCGGTGTTTAGTGAAAACTAATTTGAGGAAAATAAAAAAAATCCGAATGGTCAGCGGCACCAACGACGTCGGGGAATTGCTACCGAAGAATGGCGGATGCCGAAAGAGAAAGACTATGGGATGACGTCGACGATTGATGCTATGACGGTCTCGTCGTTGTCGAGGGTAGCGTGGTGGGCGGGCGTTGTTTTATCAAAATTCAGTGTTAATATTAATGGACCATGGTTGCAGTAGCCAAACACTGGTACAGACACAGTGTGACCAAGTGAAATTAGAGCAAATGGTTTAGTTGACAGCTTGAAGCTTGCCAAGAAAGTATTCTTCCGCCAATCAAGTTTAAATGATACACACAACCACGAATTAAGATATAGGTACTTAGGTATATCCTATTGGCTATTATCCTAATTCATGCCCATAACTTATATAGTTATATCTTTCGTATTTAAGTATTTTCAATGTTCTATACTTCTATTCATCATATTAAAATAATAATAAATAAAAAAGTACCTACCCGTATTAATACTCAACCGACAACCAGTGCCGTAAAAACCGGGTGTGCAAAGTGTGCACCGCACACAGGCCTCGGGCCTCATAATATATCGAAGGGCCTCAAAAGATCTAAAGACTTATATTAAACTAATATAAAATTATTAAAATATATAAATTATTTATTATTGATTTGGAAACGAAACCAATGTAATTTCATTTTTTTTTATGTAGCATGGAGTCGTGATCACTGTTTTTAGATTTTGAGAGGAACGAACAAACATATTGATTTTACAAGATGTGTATAATTTTTTTCATTTCTGTCGGACGTCGGTCATCAACATTGGGTAGTAAATTCCGAATTTCGAGATCAGCATTTTTTCTGTTAGACTGACGATTTTTAATATTTTTCATCTGCTTTGAAACAATATACTAGGAGCCTTCTATTAAATTTTCAAGTTTTTTTAACCAACAAATAAAATTTTATTGATATTTCTAGAAAAAAAACTAAAATGAAAATGAAAAATGAAAATGTCCCTAAACAGTTCAAAATAAATCAAAATATTTTGAAAATGTTATCGTGTATAGAAAATGAAAATATAAACAACCAGTGAAAATGTCATGTATCTTTGGTCATTTGTTTTAATGTTACACCAAAAACCAAATTCAATTTTCTGAAAAATCGATTTTGCGTAAAAATTCCCGTTTTTCCTTAATTTTTCTTTTGTTTTTCTCGGTGCTTTTTTAAAGTACTGGGAATTTTAAATTTTGACCTCCCCAATGCACCAACGATATTCCAATCGAACAAGATACTGAAGTCGAAAATCGAAGCATTATTTCGACTATACTTATCGTGTACACAGACACAAAAATAAAAAATAAATTTAAAAATTTAAAAAATTTAAAAAAAAACACATCATTGTAAAATCAATACATTCATCGTTTCACTCAGAATCTAAAATTGTCTATTTACCTAAAACCAAAAATTTTATTTTTTGGTGTAGCTCGAAAACTAATAACCGAAGAAAATTGAAGTTTTCACCAAATATTTATATTAATATTTTCAATAAATTACATTTTGGAAAATTTTTACTTTTTTGAGTTAGTTATAGCCTTGAGAAATTGTTTTAAAACTATAGATTATTTTAAATTAAAATTTTTTTTTTTGTTTAAGCCCGAATTTTTGTCTGCTGACTTTAAAAATTGCAAAAAAAGATTTTGAGGTGTGTATTGAAAAAGATAATAGGGGCCTCAATATTTTGGTTTTGCACACAGGCCTCAAGTAGCCTAGTTACGGCACTGTACTCAACATAAGCGTGTCTACGGGTCTTGCCTGTCATGCACAGGCATGACCTGCGAAATTTGATCTAACTTACATTATAAATTGCGGTACATAATAATATACACTTTTTTTCTTAGATTCTGATTTCATATTAAATTTTTTGATTTTCATCATGTGGACTTTTAATATCTATTACAATTATTGATAATGCTTCCCTTGTGGAACCACTTCTAAAACACTTCATCAATGGATTGATTTTCTAAATTCAAATAATAGAACTTATATTTTTCTTCACTTCTATAAAGTAATAGTACTTTTTACCATTATTCCGGTAACAACTTGTTCATACGAACGTGCATTTTCTAAGCTGACAATCGTAAAAACAAAACTCCGCAGCACCATGACTCAAGAAAGACTTGACGCTTTAATGTTTCTATTCATAGAACAACAGATGACAACAAATATTAATTATGACGAAGTTATCAAGGAATTTAAAGTGATGATACCAACAAAACGACGTTTAGAATTATAATATATATTAAGTATGAAGACCATTTGTGATTATAAAAATATTTGTAAAAAGTATTAGGTAGGTAGGTACACATTAATTATATTTTAAAATACAATTTTATATTGCCTTGTTATTTTATTTATCTAATAAAAGGAATATTGTTTTTTATTCTGAAGTATTAGATAATAATTAATAGGTAATGATAAAGCTTATTAAGAAATTTGGAGGTCATATCCTTAAACCGAAACCAAATTTTTTTAGGGGTTGGGGGGTGCAGAAACCTACTTCCCCTAAATATGCCACTGCTGTGCATGACCTGCGAACAAGGTCTGGACACGCCTATGGTACTCAACCTATAATAATACTTAAATTGTTATCCTTGGTTTGAATATGTAAATTCATCCAAAATTTAACTTCAAATAACTATAAAAAAAAACTGTAATAATATATTTTTTAGATTTTTAGGATGCACAGAATGAAATACTTACGCGGAATCTTGGTTTTACAATTCTAACCATTATACTATTATAGCTATAAATAATTTGTAAATTTTCGATTCAATAAAAGTAGTCAACATTTGAAATTTAAATGCTTATAAAAAAAATCTTGCCTATGTATTTTAATATTGTTAAGTTGATGTTGTAACAATATGTGAAGAGCCTTGTATTATAAAGTTTTTTGGCTCAACGAATACAATTGGATTGACATAGATAGAAAAAAAGTAAAAAAAGTGGGTAAGTAGATATCGCTCTCATGTACGGTAGGTTACAAGTGGGTCACTAATGGATGGTGTTAAATTTGAATTCAATAATGTAATATCATTCTATATGAAAAACGATTCTGAGAGAGAACAGTCAGTCAGCCTATGATATTACTAAGTATATTTGATGATATTATTGTGAATAAAGTAATTGATATATTTACCTATTTAAGTGGAACCTTGTTTTAAATTTTCGATCCTTAGCTATAAAAGTTGAACATTTTATACATTTTTAACTACAAAATAATTATTAAATTTAAAATTTGCAAAAACAGGCATAGCAATAAACGAAATCGGACCTTTCTCAGTCCGTAATGTATCCAACGTCTTAAACAAAACTACTAAAAGTAAACTACCAATTTTGTTTATCGACTTGGAACCTGGAGAAATAAATATAGAAATTGTTCATATTACCTCTTTATTGAATACAAAAATAAAAAACGAAGAGCCATACAAAATACGCATCATTATACAATGTATAAACTTCCAGGTGTATATGGACACTTCAAATTATACTGTGCCCCATAGACCTTATACTATATTATAAGGTTTATGCTGTGCCCACCCTCCAAGATGCATCAGATGTGCTGACAATCATTCTACTTCCACCTGCACAAAATTAAAAGACGAACCACCAGCTTGCGCCCTCTGTGGAGGCAATTACACGGCCGACTACAGAGGCTGACAAGTCCACAAAAACCTTCAAAGTTTAATATATGGTAAAAATATTCCAAATAAAAAATATAATTTAAGAAATGATGTAAAATATAATTCTATTGTATCTAAGGGGGAGGACTCTGGTGTTAAAGTCAACCATAACCTACCCCAGTGGCGCCGAAGTTTTTAAAATGTGGTCGGGCAATTTTAAAACTTCCCGGCCTCAATATCTTAATTATTCAATATAGAGGTACCCTAATATAAATTTATTCATAATCACAGTTTAAATTTACTCATGCTTATAATAAAGTTATGAAGTAAATTAAATATGGCCGGCCGGCCACATTTTTCAAAAAAGAGGTCGGGCCACGGCCCGACGTCAGCATGGATTTCGGCGCCACTGACCTACCCAATATAAGAGGCACTTCATCTTTTCCAAAGCTAACCTCTTACCTCGCAATATCTCCATCCCAACATACCTATAAACATACTGCCCCAAATGATACTGGGAATGACACTGCAAATCAATCTAAATCTAAATTAGCTACACACAACTTTCCTCTTTCATTTCTAAATTCAAATTAATAATAAATCCGCTCATATCATTACTTACAACTGTAATAAATAAACTTATAAATTATAATCAATGTCAACTAAAAAAAAAAACCAAGTTTAACATAGTTACTGAAAAGATTTGCTAACCTAAAATAATTTCAGGTTGGGTTCTCTCTTCATATTATTCAAGTTAAAATTATTGTACATAAATTACCAAATTTACTTATTGTGTTGTCGAGCACAGATTGTAAATATTTAATTAAAAAAAATTGTAACTCAAACTAATTTTGAACATTTTGTGATTTTTGCGAATTTGATCAAAATTCAAACTTAGGTGTAAGTAGGTCACTCGTAAATAATTTATTATTGTGGATTTAAGTTCAAGTTTTTTTTAATTGCCACTAGGCACTAATGATAACTTACGAGGAACCTTGTATTACATTTTTAAGTTTTTGACAGAGTGAACAATGTTTATCGACATAAATTTAAAAAAAAATTAAATTTACTCTTTAAAAATTGTTATATGCCTGTAAATAGGCAAATAGCTCAAAATAAATCAAAATATTATGGTGTACAAAAAATGCTAATATAAACATTCAATTAAAATGTTATGTATCTATAGGTAAACGGTTATATTTTTCGCACCAACTATAGATTCATTTTCCCATCAGAAAAGAATAAAAAAATACTCAAGTTAAAAATCGAAGGGTTATTTCAACTACTTATGTACCTACTACTAT